GCACGCTTTGATTTTTGTGGACAACAACTATGCCTCGCTTAAGATACGTCACGCACTCCGTTGCTCTTATTGGTTGTAGGTCTATCCAATTGAGTACAGAGGCATTTTTTTTCCTGGTTCGTTCAAAACACGCCCCATAATCACAGCTCTATGGAGCAGTATCAGACTCATATTCTGACTAGAATTGAGTTGGACTACGTCAGGCTACGAATATGGGTGATTTTACAGTAATTTTGAATGATACATTATTTTTTTTTTTGCGATCATTGCACTTGCCAAGCGGGCAAATGCAATGAAATTTGTACTCTCCCAACAATAAAAACTACTTGCCCCGGGAGATCGGGCAATGGTTAGCATCGAGCCCTGATCTGGCACCTATCTGCTTTCAGCCACCCATCAGGGTACATTGGTTAGTGCCTGGCCACCTTTATCGCCTATGGCGTCCCCTTTAGAAGAGAGAAAACATCAGCTGGTGTCTGAACCAGAGCATGTGAGCGGAGGGGAACAAATATGGTGGAGCGGAGAGCGGTTTTCAATTCTAAGGCCGGAGCAAGGATTTTGCTCCGTTCACGTTTGCTCCAATGTGCTCACAACGGCAATTAAAAATATTGGATTATGAAATTTGTAAAATAACATTTATTTGATTTAAGTGTGATTTTTTTAAAATCAATAATTAAATAGGAAACGCGGGGCAACATGGATGGAGCGAGGTGTTAGGGTCACATCATTGAATCAAACGCAGTGGGTCTCAGGGCCCTGGCATAATTACATGAAGGAAAAATGTCAGAAAACGCCTTCTCCTGAAAATAGGAGCGACGGTGGAGCGATTTTGCCCGAGCGGCAGGAAAATGAAGGTGAGAGCGGAGCATCCTGGCTCAACTTTGAGCGGCAAAGCGAATGAGCGAATATCCTCCTGAGCAGGAATTGCACAGCGCTCCACTCACATGCTCTGGTCTGAACCAATAACAAACTGATGTTATTAAGAACCTGCTAATGTCGCTCCCAGCATTTCCAGCTCCACATCCGAACCAAGATGTAGAAATTCTTTTTTTGTTGAGTTTTTACAAAACTAGGCTAATTTTTATGGACGGCAGGCTGACAGGAAATGGGGTATAAGAGAGGAGAGACAGGCGGGAAAGGATCACAGGCCGAATTCGAACCCCGATCGCCGGCGTCAAGGACTAAAACCTCCATACATGGGTCATATTACTAACCACTGGCCACCAAAGCACGCCCCCAGATGTTGAAATTTAAAAAAATATTCGATAAACAACCGGAGCTGATGTAGAGTTTGGATCATAGATTCCAGCTGTTCCAGATGATGATCCAAAGCTAACCGTTATTAGCTGCTGTAGTACTGGTTTGTGACATCGTGGGGCGCCCTGGGGAGCGATCAGGGGTTAAGGGTCTTGCTCAGAGAGCCAGAGTGGCAGTCTGTTGGAGCTGGTTTCGAACTCACAACCACAAACCTGTTGGTTTTCTTTAGATGGAAAATTTTGAAACTCTCTCCCTCTAGTAAAACATTAAAACAGAGATCATCATCCTGCCTGATTGATTCCTTTTGGTCTAATGAAGCTCGTGTCAAGGGGAAATTTAAATTTTACCCTTTAAAGGTGTAAAAAGCTCCCTTTAAATAAAAGTTTCTAATGATTAGAAAACAAAGACAGCTGCAACACGTTGAACATGTTCTGGAACTGTGGAACTAAACTGGAGCCACTTCTAAAATATGACCGTTTATAATAAATACACTTTCTAAGTACACTGCTGCTTTAGGCTGATTGTGACACACAAATACGGTAAAACAGTTGAGTTTCAGTTTAACTTTAAGCTACTTTTAAATTAAAAAGAAAGCAGCTGGATGCAGATGAAGGCAACAATCATATGAAATAATTGCTAACAGCCCCCCCCCCACACACACACAAACACACCAGGCGATCTAAATGGTAAATTGGTCCTGTCTGTCCTTGGGAACACTTGAGAAACTTGTTCCTTCCTCTGGGTTTTCTTTCCTAAATTCCCCGCCGTTTCCCTCTTTCTCCCTCCTTCCCTTTTTGTTTCAACCCTTCTTCCAATTCTGTTTCTCCTCCACAGCATGTAAATAAATTGGTCCCCAGGCCCCACTACTTCATATCGTGTGAGTGTGCAAGCGTTACGCCGAGTGCAGATCCACACACAACCCTCCCGAGCACTGAGCTGCACCAAATTAGCCAAACTTTTGTGTCGCCGAGGTAAATAAAGGGGATTGGGCAGCGAGTCCTGAGGTTGGGAGATGGCGTGGAGGGTTTTCAGGGAGGGGGGGTCAAGTGTAAGTGAGTATTATGATGATGAAATGTGGCGAAAAAACTTGCAGCTCCTCCTCAACACGGCGGCCAATCACCGCTACGGCGGATCTTTGCATTTCAAAGACGCACTCTTGTCTGTTTCATCTCCACCAAAAAACCAGCAGAAGCGATTGTCCTGTTATCCTGCAACACACACACACACACACACACACACACCAGCCACCTCCGCTTCAGTCCATTTTCCTCCACCATGAATTATGAAAAAGGGAAAATGGAACATCAAACACAATCCGCTTGCTTTTAGACGTTACTCCCCAACACACACACACCTACAAATGAGAGCTGACGAATCTGCTCCACTCCAAAAACCTGCATTCTCACTTCCACATGCCTGACGGATACCTTTCCTTCTGCTGATGGCTGCTTATTATGCTTGGAGGGGAAATCAGAAGTATTCATTCTAATCGGAAAGGATTGATGAAATGTATTCCCCATAACCGGTGCATGGAGAGAAACAGGACTACAGCCTTAATGTTAGAACTTAAAAGCTAAACAGAAGAGCATGACGACTTTAAGGTTTCTAGAAGCGTCTTTAAATGATGTGTTGTGACGGATTACATCATAAAGGGTGTCATACTTTCAGGGTGGAGCTTTTCGGCCCGGTGTTCTGTCGGATCAGCATACCTATAGTCATCTTTTTGTGTTTATCCCTATAGTTTTGTATGAAAATTTGACTTTACTCTACCTCAACGGACATGTATCCCTTCAGTCATGTACAAAGGAACCCATTTAAGGTCAGATCGCCATACGCTTCATAAAAAACACACCAAAAAGTAAGTAATTAAATATTTTTTTGTACGTAAATGTGGGGTTGGGGGGGCATCCAGGATTATGTACATACACAAGGAGGGAGAAAACTCAGCCGTCTCCTCTTCCTGTCATGCAAGGGTGACATGAATGACTCTTTTTTTTAACAATCTGTTGACTGTGCTGAAATATATGGGCTGAATCACAAGATTTCTGAGTGGTTCATGACCCCAAAGTGACCCGCATGGAGCAAAGGGGAAAGCAGTCGTCACGCTGCAGCCCCATGAAAACAAAAGTAATATTGAAGTGGACTGTTCCAAGAAGCTTCCTAAAAACCAGCCAAACAGAAAAGATGCTGGCGTCTCTGATATCTGTAGAGCAGAGGAGCTGGTGATGATCTGACCACATATAGAAGAGAGTCACAGCCTGATAAAATGCTAAATGAGCGTTCAGACGATGGGTTTTCTAAATCAGTACTTCGTTTGGCTCAGATGGCCATGAAAGAGGAAGATATGGTCGGTTATAGACATAGAGATAATATTTGGGTCTCCTGAGAAGGAGACCCAATGACCCGGTACCAGACAATGAGATATATCCGTTAAATCAGAACCTTGCAACGACAGAACATCAAACCTTAAAGGTCACAGTGAAGAAAATATCAAACACTTATTTTAGTTGTTCATTTGAA